TCTTCGCCTGGCGATAGTCCGTGTCGCCGTCCTCCCAACGAAGGCCGTGATGGTTCGCTATCAACCAACTGGCCCTTGCTTTCTCGGAGCTCGTCAGCAGATACCAACTCATCGGCGCGCGAAACACGTGATGCGCGAGCACGCGCGTCTCGCTTCGCAGCACGGCCACCTCCTTCGCGACATAATCTGTCGCCCACCAAGATTGTCGTCGTCGTTGCCGCTGTTGCCATTGCGTTAGCGCGCGTTGGAAAAAATTATAGAACAGACGTTCGTTTAAGTTGCTCGTTCCTAACAGAGTCTGAGGAACGATGGAAGGAACCCGCGAATTTATATATTCCTTGTTTCCGGGATAAAACAACCCCACAACCACATTTTTTCCGTTTCCCGGATGAGGTATCCTCACAATCGCATTTTCAGTTTCCCGGATGAGGTATCTCCACAATCGCATTTTCAGTTTCCCGGATGAGGTATCTCCACAATCGCATTTTCCGTTAGATAATTTTGCGCACTACGTTGGTCAGCGGACTGCTCGATGACGCGATCGTGAACGATGAGACAAAAGGCCGTGGTTTTCGGCGGAACGTTTTCCTTGTTTTCGAACTCGATGCGCACGTCCACGGTGGCGCTCTTCACCGATTCGTTTTGACGGGAACAATCGATCACCGCGAGCGGAGCTACTCGCGCGAATTCGCGCGGGGAGAAGAGCGCGTCGTCGCGACTGTCCCCGTAGTATGCTCCTCGAAATTTCGCGTACATCTCGTACAGCACGGTAAACTTGTCGCTCTCGAAATCCACGTTCACGTCGTCGTAGGGATAGAATTCCGAGTTGAGATACAATTTCACGTTGGCGAGCGCGCAATGATCGAACCTCGAGGCGTCGCCCGCGAATTCGTTTCGCCGTCCGGTCTGCAGTGCGAATATGACGTATCGCGGCTTCTCCAATTGCGGCGCGGTTTTCACGGCCCACGAATGCTTGGTCGTGCTCTGCAGCAGGGAAAATTCGTACAGATCCCAAGAGCAAAAGCCTGCGCTCAGAAATCGTCCGCTTTCCAACGTTCGCAACAGCGATAATTTAGTCACGTCGTTTAGCGCCGCGTGAGGCATACGCCATTGCACTTTCAACAACGTAATTTTAGGATCCTTGGCCGGATCTCTCGGCACGGTCTTCTTCGGATCTACGACGCAGTTGTGGTCGCTACGAGAGCGTATCAGGATAAGCTCGTGTCGCGCGTTTATCACCACGCGTTTGTAGTTCTCGCAGAAACCCAAAAGAATATTCAAAGGTACGCAAAAGTTGAATTGATGGGACGCGTTGTTCAGATTCGATTCGCTCGTCGGATAACTCCATCCAGCGTTCTGCAGTCTTCTGGCTCGTTCGATGGTCAGCGACACGTAGTTCTTTATCGTGCTGGTTATGCCGACATTTCTACACCGGTCGATCTCCACGCCGTCGAGCTCGTATCAAATTTCGTCGAACATAAACGCGACGCAGTTGTTGACTAATTTTGCGTATTGTTCCTCATTTGTTGCGCCGTCGTTGTTGAGTCGTCCCTCGACGTACAGGAAACTGTCGCACGGCAGCGTATACAGATCCTGCTGCTGTATGGGTATTCGTATCTTGTCGTTGTGCCCGAACGTCGTGTTGACGTACGGGTTATACGTGTGAGTCTCGATTTCGACGATGCGCTCGTCGAAGATCGACTCACCGCCGATACTCAGGATGTCGGCCATGGTTTTTCCTCTCGAGGTAGAAACGACTCGGCGGTGACGCGTTTCTCACGGCGAGATCCAGCGATCGTAAGAACCTGACGTTGGCGTTGCTGAGAACGGCTCTCCCTCCTCCGCCTCTTCTCTTCCCTACGCTTCCGATCTCGTCGTAGAACGGGCTAGCTCGCTCGTTCGTTCAATTCGCGCTAGATCCGTTCAGAACGAGCATCCCTCCTCTCGCTCTCTCTTCGGGGATACGCGCACACACACACTAACCGTGACGACGACGTACGTGCAGTCTAATCGTTATCACCTCGCCGCGAAAGTCGATCAGCCGATCCTTCTGATCCACGACTCGCACCGTGATATCGGTGACGTTTCGCGCGACGATCGGGAGGTAAATGATTTGCGTCGGAGTCTCCGACAGTTTATATCCCGGTGGAACTTTCGGCGCGAACTCGTGTATCGCGTGCACCGAGCGTCCGTTGCTGTACATACGCTCCCGCGGTGATACTGCACTCGATGCGAATTATGTTCACGCTCATGACGTCAACGGGTCCGTCGGAAACGTATCATTTGTTCGGTTTTAGAATACGATCGCTCGAGAAACCCAAAAGGGAACCGATGTTGTTCGGTTTTGTAAAATTCACTTGGTAGGCGCATTTTATCTCGCTCCTCATGGTATTCTTGTTGGCGCAAAGATCGAGCACTTTATCGCCACCGTCGTCGTCCCCGTATATGTCATAACCGTCGCCATCGTCGTCGTCGTCTTCGTCCTCGTATACGCGATAAACCTCGTCGTCGGCTTCGTCCTTCTCCGTTCGGTTTTTTTCTTTTACCCGTCCAGCGTCGTCGGTCTGCGGTTTTTCTCCTTTCTCCTTAATTTTGTCTCTTTCGCGGGTGCGACGTTCGCGATGGAGAAGAGCGGCGCGCAGATATCTGCTCACGGCTCGCAGCTCGTACAAACCTTCCGGAACGACGATTCTCCGGTCGTCCTCGCCGTAGTAGAAGCGAATGTTCGCGGACGTAACGTTCGGTATTGAATTGTACGTCTCAAAAGTCGCCAAACCCAGCTCGTATTCGCCGTTGCTCAGATCCAAAGCGGGAAAGTGACTCGCCGTGAGAACGCTGCTGGTCCCGGTCAACGTGAGCGTCAGCGACATCGCGGGAGAATGTCGATCGTTCGCCCGCCCCCCCCCAATCGATCTCGCGAAGAAATCGCAGACACAGCTGTCCGCAGATTCTCTGATCGAATGTCTGAAACGCGCGACGATTGTACGTCACGACCGCGCTCTCGCCGCCACCGTCGCCGAAATACCGCGCGAGATCCCTCGGCGGACGGAGATTTCCAAACGCGTCGAAGTAGATCGCTGAGTTCCCTTTTTTCGCGTAAGCGACCCAATGCGTGCCCGGGCCCACCGCATCGTCGAGATTCACGATGCCGCACTCCGCGCGTCGCACCCTCGGTGGCAGAGCGTCGCGCATAAACACCCCGCGGAAGAACGGTATGCGCAGACAACGCGCCGATCGATCGAGCTGCTCGTCAGTCGTGACGCCCTACGGAGGTAGACGCGCTAACCTCGCCTTTTTCCGCGAGGTTTTTTTTTTCAACGACTCTCCTCGCGCCACCTCCGCGCTTCTTATACGGCGCGAGGTACAACTCGCGACCCTCCATTGCGCGATTGTGTCGCTGCAATTCGTCGAGCTGTTTTTGCGCCGCTTTGTTGGCGCTCACCGCTTTGGCCACGCCGGCCGCGCCACCGATCAAGGAACCGAGAGCGCCCAACATCGGTAGAAAGGGCAAGAAGCCGCCGCGTTTCGCCGTCGGATGTATCCTCCGCTTCTTCGTTCTCGTCTTCGCGCTTCTCCTCAATCCCGTTTCTTTTCTCGTTTTCCTTTTGCGTTCCATACCCATGCCCAGCTTTGTCTTCGTCTTCATAGCCGCCCATACGGCCGCCGCGGCGATTCTCTCACCGGCCGTGGAATCCCTCGCGGTGACGCGCTCGCGCGCCCTCTCGGCGAGCCGTCGATCGGCGACGTGTCGCTTGGCGAGCTCGCCGCTTCGCGAATACGCGACGTCGTGCTCTCGACACGCCGCGTCCAACGGATTGATGCCTTCTTTGCCGCGCGCTAGTCTTTTCGCTAGACGCGTACCGGGCCCGCAAAACTGATAACCGGGTAAGTGCTGCTCGAAGGGAAGAGCGTTTATCGCGCGATTGAGCAGACCGATGCCGCGCATTCGGTCGCGTTTGCGGGAGGAGGATTCGTTTCTTCTTAGTTCGAACGGGAAGTCGATGATTCACCGTTCACAGGGGGAAAGCGATTGCACTCGTGGCAGTCCTTGATGAGCGGCGGCGGACCGTCTATGTGCGTTCGCTGCCACGGACGATTGTAGTGTTGCATGCACGGGCGATATCTCTGCACCTCGGGATTCGCTTGTATATGTTCCGGCAAACGGTCCCACAACAGGTGCACGTATCTCTCAAATTGACGCAACAGAAGGACCATCGGAACGTATTGCAACTCTTCCGCCGTTAGATTGAGAATTTCGTAACTGTCCACCAGTATGGGAAACACGCGGCTGTGAGACATCTCACCGATGCGCGCGAACGATTCGTTGCTTTTAGAAAATAAATTTTTTGTACGGATACGGCGACACGCTCGCGCTACTTATACCCGCGCGCAAGGCGTTTGCGCACGCGCGACGAAACGAAACGACGTCCGCGCTTCCCTCCCTTTTTTTCCAGCGATCGAGAGACTCATCGCGAATGAACCGAGCGGAAATTGCGCTCGCGGAAAAACCCGAGAGAGAGAAAGAGAGAGAGGGCAAACATGCGATTCGTGCGACAGACGGCGACGTTAGGAGTCTCGAATCTGGATCGCAAAACGTCGGCGGGGTCGGGCGCGACCGAGAGAGGAAACGGAGAATCGCGCTGGCACGGTCCTCTCCTTCCGAACGTCGTCCGTTGCATCATTTGCGGTTCTTCCAACTGCGGTAAGACGAACGTTCTGCTGAGCCTGCTGGAACAACCGCACGCTCTCCGTTTCGAGAACGTATACGTGTACTCAAAATTTCTGCAACAACCGAAGTATCGATACCTTGAAAAATTGTTTCAGCCTATAGACGAGATCGGCTATCACGCGTTTTCCGACAATCGCGACGTCGTTTCGCCCGACGAGGCGCTTCCCGACTCGGTCTTCGTCTTCGACGACGTGGCCTGCGACAAGCAGGACAGAATGAGGGAGCACTTTTCTATGGGCCGACATTTGAATATCGATTGCTTCTATCTCTGTCAGACGTACGCTAAGATACCAAAACATCTTGTGCGCGATAACGCAAATCTGCTGATCCTGTTCAGACAGAACGGCACCAATCTGCGACACGTGTACGACGATCACGTGAACATCGACATGTCGTACGACGAGTTTCGCGCCTTCTGTCGCGAGTGTTGGCGGCGCACCTACGGTTTCGCCGTGATAGACAAGGACAGCGCGTTGCGAGGCGGACGGTACAGACGGGGCTTCCACGATTTCGCCGTGCTGTAGGGTCGATCAATGCGCCTCGCCGAACGACGCGAGTATGAGCGCGATCGCGGAGGAGAGAACCGCGCGAGAGATAGCCAAGACGCGCGCCTCGATTCGCAGGAAGTACGCCGCTCTCAGGGCCGGGAAGATGGAGAGCAAGATCACTCTGGAAAAAAGGTACGAGCCTATCGTCAAACCTCTGAAACGGCTCGCTGATGACGTGGAACGTAGGGCTAAAGGACCGGGCAAGATCGACGACGACGACGGCGCTGGCTTTACGTTCGCAAAAAAGATGAAAGCGACGAAGAGAGCGAAGAAGGACAGCGAAAACGGCGACGACGACGACGACGACGACGACAATGCTGGCGCCGACCTGGAGCGCAATTACAGGGAAGACGACGACGTATTCGCGCCAATCGGGACAACCTCGACGGCGAAAAAAAGAGAGTCGCGTCCGGCACGGCTGAGTTCGGCTTCCGCGACGACGACCATGATGAGCTCCACGTCGATCCGCGACGATTCGGTCCAGTTTTTACCCAGAGAACGCGAGATCGTCTCGGAGACGACGACTCCATTTCCCACGTTGGAGACGTCTGCCGGGAAATCTTTGAGTACGGCGGAAAGTCGCGACGTTCTGACTAGTCAACTAGGACCGTTAGGGCGCGAATACTTGGGCGCTCTTCTGGGCGGCGACAAAAACAAGGAGATCGACACCGTTTACGGAGTGCATTTCGGCGAGAAAGACACGGTGCTGGGTAACAAGCGATTCAAGCTGAACCCGGATGACTCCATGGTCATCGACGGTGTACCGTACAAAGGCACGCGCGGCCTATACGAGTTGATCTTCATGGGAAATCCCGACGCTAAAATCTACACGGAGAAAGACAAACTAACGTACAGGAGTATACTTTTCTCCACCAGCGCTCACAAACGCGGCAGCAAAGCCGACAATCCCGTCAAGGGCAACAAGGGACCGAAGTACAAAAATATAATAGCGCCGCTCATAAACCTGTCTCACAGAGTTGGAACTACGAAGGGTGCCGGGCTACCGTCGGCCATGCGACTGACCGACAAAGCTATCGATTACGTTCACTAGGACGATCCCAACGAACTGGTCAATAGACTTCGACTGCTGGACGCCTCTCGTCGGGCCGGCAACGACGCTCACGACAACGAAATCCTGTCGATAATCGAGGAACTTCGCGAGGCCGGCTTCGTCATAAATTGATCGGTCGCGTCGGTCGCGACGGCAGTGCGAGTCGCGCGCCCGCCAGCGCGATGTCCGTGAACAAATTCGGCATGTCTCTGACGAATCGGGGCAGCGGCGACGGAGTCGACGGTGCGTCCACGGTGAGATTGCGCTCCTCGATCGAGTCCCTGCGCAATTACGCGCGCAACAACGCGCTCTTCGTGAGCGAAGATTTTTACGACGCGAGGGAGCGCAAGATACGAAGAGTAGCCGCGCCGGAGATTGACACCGACGCGACGAACAGGAGTTA